TTTACAGTTTACAGTTACATACCTGGATTCATTTTTATCTATGCATAGCTGGAGGTTGATACATAATTTCTTCTATATGATTATAAATGCTTTAAAGCAGGGAACAGATCCTGATGGGTATCTTCAAGCAGTAAGTAAACTCACAGCCTGCGTAATCTGCTTTGAAATACTGTTTTTTCCTTACACAGGGAAATGGTGTTCTTGTATTTGAGTTACTGTGCTTCTTGTGTACTGGTGTGCATTGAATTTATAATGGCAGTTAGAGAAGCCTTACTCCAAAAACCTGCTTTTCCTTAATAAAACCCAACCTCCTATTCATAGTCCTCATAGTTGTGGTAAACTTTGAAAATACGAACTAGACAATGCAAAAAACTTCAGTGAGTTGAAAGACCTCTTGAAACAATATCACTAAGAAGTAGGAAGTACTCCATGCTTCTTAGGGGAATGTTTATTCTTAACTCCTAAAGACAAGTTCGAGGGACATAAAGTAGGGAAAAAAAATTAATGTACCACCAAAATAAAAACATATCAAAGAGAAAGTGTCTTATGAGCCATAGTAGTCATGGTTGCTACTCAAAGCAAGTGGTAACTGTAAGCTGACTTTCTACTGACTGCTACTATTCTAAATTCCCAAGCTGATACTGGCCACTCAGGTACCTCTCTTCTAATGGATAAATCAAGTAACTTAGCAAAGGGATTTTCAGATAATCTTTTTCTGGTTTTTGAAAGTTCACCTGCACTGCAGGATCCCCCAGGATTGCACTCAGTTTCTATTAAAAGGGCAGCCACACACGTTTCAAGGAGCATTTAAATCCCAGGTAAGCAATCCACAGAGTGCAGACAGCCCTTTTTCAAGAGCAAATTATGTGAAAAAAAATTTATTCTACTTTACTGAAACAAGAGACATCCCCAAATCAGAGGTATTTAAAACATTTATTAGCGTTAATCATTGTAGGTTAAATAAAACACAAAACTACATTTTTAGGGCAAAAAAAATTATTAGGTATGATACAATTATTATGTAAAACAGAAGATAAAGTATTAACAGATTGCAGCATCCCATACGTGAAGCGAGTGGGTCCAGCCCAGTCAAAGCCCTTATATAAACAAAACAGAGGAAGAGTACTTAGCAGGTGATTTTAAACTGACAATTTATCACTGACTCTGGTTTAAATTATTAAGGGTAGGATAGTAAAATATATCATCATTGTACTGAAAAGGTCTGATTATAGTCAGAGTGCTTGCATGTATAATCTATCTAGTCACACTTATTATCACGTGTCCTGAAGGATTAGCGAAGACAAGGGATGATAGGTAACTTCTAGGTATTGATACAGACCCATGTTATATTGTAGTACTTCAGATAGATCTGCTGTACCATGAACAAAAATGATCTTTTTTTTTTTTTTGAGTGTAACTTCATTACTTCTGAGTCCGAATCCTTGGATAATAATGACCTTTTGCAGATTTCTCAGTCTGCAAGACAAACTTTTTCTGCAATATGCCATTTTCATGCATAAGAATGGCAAGTCAACAATTGTACCCATGTGTATCACCATCTTCCTGATACCTTCAGTCTGTAGCTTTAAGTTCATAAAGGTGAAATGATCATTAACAAAAAAAATGTTCTTACAGAATACAATGTGCAGTATATGAGAACCAGACATAGTGAAAAAACACTACATGTCAGCATAACAATATAAAACTCTACTTATATACAAACACATATGCAGAGCATATATGAAAACCGAAAACTAGTTCCTTCATAGTGTTGTTTTTAAACTAGTTCATGACAAGCCAGAAAAGCAAGTCACCCACAACTGGACAGTCACAGTCTTGAGTCACGGTGCAAACAAGCTCCACCCAACATCCTCGGCTGACTGAAGCAGCCTGTGCTTCAGTCCTGCTGCCAGCTCTCTTGAGAAAACTAGGCTTGGACAAATCCAGCACCAGCTGGCCAACCTAGAACTGCAGCGTTATTATTATTATTCTTACTATTAGAGCAGATCAGCTACAGAGTCAGGTGCTCCTGTACAGTAATTTAGCTTTTCACCAGCCATGAATTACTAAAAGGAATTCTGGTTGCTGATGAAGTTTGGGGTTTTTTTGTATGTCATTTTTCTGGCTGTTTATGAAGAGCGATGGTACTTTCCAAGCAACACAGGCAACAAATGGAAGCAGAAATCTTACATTTGAAAATCACAATTTTAAAAACAAACTGTTCCCCCATTTGAAGAGGCATGTTAAAGCCGCACTTTAGCTTTGATGAACAGCAGACAGGCAACATCACCATCAAAGGCAAGCCCTGTCTTCAGCGAAAATGCAAGCCACCCTGCACAGCACACTGACCTGTTATTTTTTCACCTGTGACTTTGGAGTTCGCTAATGAAGCTCACCATAACCCAAATCTCAAGAATTTACACAATCAGAATCCTTATTAATCTAATTTTTTTTCTTGACTACAAGCAGACTAAGGTGGTTTAGGTTTGACTCACCAAATGCAAAAATATCTTTGAACCTAATTACCCAGCATTTGAATTTAAAATCTGCCAGAGATCCATTGTAACAACTTCCAGTTTTAAAGTATTTCAACATGTAACTCATAAACCTGTTCGGATTCACATGCATCTCAATGGCAGCTGTGAGAGCTGGTTGTTGAAGACAGTATCTATTCCATTCAGACCAGCATCAATTACTAGTTCTAGCATAAATCAAGGTACTCACAGAATTGTCTTACAAACCCATCTCAGGTAGGATTTGATGAGTTTTGAGCTGTCACATTAGTATTTCAACATGTAACTCATAAACCTGTTCGGATTCACATGCATCTCAATGGCAGCTGTGAGAGCTGGTTGTTGAAGACAGTATCTATTCCATTCAGACCAGCATCAATTACTAGTTCTAGCATAAATCAAGGTACTCACAGAATTGTCTTACAAACCCATCTCGGGTAGGATTTGATGAGTTTTGAGTTGTCACATTAAAAAAAAAAAAAGAAACATGCCACAAAGATTTATAAAAGCTTAATTATCAGTTATGCATAACCACTATATGTTGAATTAAAATTTATCACACCTTTGAAAATGTGGGTTCGATCTCACCTTGTTTTATTGGTAACAGTTCTAGCCTTTTACTGGGTTTTATTTAGGAAGAACCAGATGTCTTGCAGCACTGGGTCACAGATCCCATAAATTGTATGAACCTGTGATGCTGGTAAGTTTGATATTTCTTTAGCACTGAAGGCCAGGTTAACCTCGCCCTCCACAGCCAGGTGGAAGAGCCAGGCACCCCTGGCAGGCTCACATGTATTAGAATAGGGTGAAATGTCCCCTAAAGGAGCCTGTCTCCCCCCCCAACTATCAACAACGACGACTGCTGAATTTTCATTTAAATAACCCTGGATTATCTGTAAAATAGTTGCTGCCATGAAGCAGTGACATGGATCACATATCAGCACAGGTGACAACAGAAAGTTTACCTGAAACATCCTTTTTCATGCTAGCTATCTGTCTATTATCCAAGGGCATATTTTCAAGAATGAGTGCTTTCAAAGGAGTCTCAAATATCTGAGAAATTGATTGTATGTGAAAAAACAATGCAGCTTAGATTCTTAGATAAAATCCAGTGGGACATTTCCCACCTATAACGACTTCAAGCCTTCTGAAGACAAAGAAACGTTCCTGTTGATTTCAGCTGGCTCTGTTTCAAGCCCTAATAATTAGTGCCATTTTATCAAGGCAATCTCACAACCAAGCAATAAGGTCTGTTTTTTATGTATAAACACGGAAACCCAGCTCTAGCCTGCCTTTTCATGATTTACTGTGGAAAGCTGTTTTTCCCTTTTTGTTTGCTTTTCCTGTGTCCTCCAACAAATGTGCAGTGAGGTTAATTTTCCTCAGGACAAATTAATGTTGTGGAATGCAGGGCTTTGGTTTTGAGGCCTGCATTCTTACCCTCGTTCTGATTTCCAGTGAAATTGCTGAAGAAGAAAAATTTGTATTTTATCATCTCGGTCACACACACTCATATGAAAGATGGAAGTGCAGAATACAGAATAATTGCATTATTTCTAGTTCATACCCAGCTATTGGATATTTTTTTCTACACTGTGCATCAAGCTTCAAAGGTATTACACAGTGGGTCTTCCATACCGCATCCCCACGTGGTGAGGGGACTACTCCACAAATTCACAGAATTGCATTTGTAAAGAAACACTCTGGTGTCTTTTATTAGGTTCCAGCCTTTAACCCCAAATTATATTTTGCTCTCTTAAGTTGTTTTTGTGCGGAAATACAGTTCTTCTGACTTGAAGACTTCCTGGAGCGCTGCAGTGTGGCATACTCGTTTAGAAATGAAGGAAGTGGCATCTTTGAGCAGAGACATCTTTGGTCTGGGGCTGAGATTTGGAGGGAACCTGGTATGCAGTGGAGATTAAGCTGGCGTTTGTATTCTTTTCACAATTTCAGTAATGAATAAAGCCTACGCCCTAGAAAAGGAGTCAATTCAGGCAAAACACAGTGGCTGCATCTTCACTTCTTTGTGCAGCAGACTGGGAACTGCATGGGGTCCAGCAGTCTCCTTCGTGACAACTCCTTCTTTCACATACACAGCACCTCCTGACACAGATTTTCACTTCTAGCCTGTAAAAATTGCACTCGCTCATCCTTTGGATCCATTTTTTTTTTCTAGTTAGCAAATTCAGTCCATTATTGCTGATGTTTACTGGAAGTATGAGATGAAGCTACAGATATAGAAAAATACTGAAGCAGAGGCCAGCTAGAAAGATGGCAGAGAAACTGTAAGTCTAAATTCAGGTTTTATGGGGTTTTTTTTCACCCTACTATTACAGAGAAAACTCTAAAAACATGCCAAGTCCACCTTGCCATGTAAGAAGAGAACTTTTTGCAGCAAATCTAAAATTTTATATAAAAGGATCTTTTTATTAAAAAAAAAAACCCAGTCATTGGCTTAAACAAGAGATTCAGAGTACTCTGACATAATTTTGACAGGATACTAGAGAGGATTTTCCAACTAGGTTTTGCAAAATCCCTTTGAAGTAAAGCTTTCTGCTTCTGGTCCTTCCATTATTGCTCATGGGAAGTATTGAAATTACTGCTTTCAAGATAAGGAGCCACGTCACTGAGACAAAGAAGTCTTTTCTCATTGAAAAAAGCAAATGGTGCTGTTTTTCAAGTAAACCTAAAAAGATCATGTTGGGTCAGCAGCACCGCCTACCCATCTGTGAAGTTTGCTTTCCAAGTTTGATTGCTCCATTGTTACCGTTTTCATGAGGATCTAAGGGTGGAATTTGCCGACCTGAAACACACAAGGAGACAGTGAATTCAATTTTCCTGACACAGTAATAACACACGCATATAACAGTTAGAATGATTTAGCTTTCATAAAAATAACATCTTGAACCTTCACCAGAAACAACCATCTCCTGTGTACCTTGAATCTTTTTCCTTGCATCCTGTTTATGAACAAAGATTTTCACATTTAAAAAAATATATGAAATATGGCTATTAAGAATGCATGACGTACACTGAAATGAAGTACATTGAAATTATTATGCATGTATTAAAAAAATAAAACAGTTATCTTACTGAGCAGCTTACAACTAAGAAGGCAAAAATTCTTGGCTTTCTCCCAATTCCACTTAAATGTGAATGGTGCTAGTTTAACAAGATCCTGCCTGTCCCAAATCTGCATGGCACTTATTCCTTGCACACTAGTTTTACAAAGCACTGTAACTAAACACATGCTGCCTATACTTGAAAAACAAATCTGTTCCTTTCAACGAATCCCTGCCTCCTTTGAGGGGTACCCATGTCTTTCCAGTCGACAGCTTTGATTACTCAACACCACCCTGTCTCTCCCTCCACCCCCAAACTCCCCTGAATTTTTAGTCACCTTATGGGGTGATTATTTTAAGTGTTTGAAAGAATTTCAGCCATCACAGCAGAGACACAGATGTCTCCCAGAGGCAGAAGGCACTGCTCCAACTCCCTCCCCCATGTCCCCTTTTAGTACTGCTGCATCTTTTGTCTAACTGACTTCCTACTCACGAACAACATACCATGTGCTTAATAATTAGACTTATAAATGGAAAACCAAGATCCTCCCAGGTCCAATCTATCCTCTTGTCTCTGGTCTGGGCCTGGCTTTTCCATTAAACCTACTGTGTGATCTCTTAATCAGTATCTTGGAGAGCTTACAGTCACGGTAACATTCTTTCTCATTACCTTGTGGATTTGTTGGAAATTTTTTCTGACATTGAATCTACTTTCTGTGAATTACTCCTGTTTTTACTATTACCCATGTTAAATAACAAGAGTTAAAATATTTAATATTTCTTTGTTATATGCCACATAAAGCTCCTGTGAACAGCTCATCATAATCCAGGTGGATTTTACAGTTTAGATTTTCCCATCCTTTGCTGCATTTATTCACAGCTCTCTCTTGCCAAATGTTCTATGAATTATGTATGTACGTTAATGCCTGAGTCCTACAAATTACTTTAGGAGGTGGTGCGGGAGGGTGAGTTAAAAGCATTCAGGTAAAATCCAATCCCAATGAAATCAAACAGCAAAATTTCAACTGTAAAACTTGTCCCTAAATTACCTTTGGTCAAGCCCATCTAAATTTCACCTCTCGTATTCAGTCAGTTCTGAACAGGTATGTTATACAACAAAAGTGTGACTTTTGAAGCAGATAATCTTGGGTGTTTGTACAACTGAACGAGAGGTGAAAAATTCCTCACATTACTAAGCTCAAGATACTGTATTTGATCCAACAGAGTGAGAAATAGGTATCTGGAGGGCTGAAGCATTTATAAGCACTGACATTAATGCTCTGACATAATGCTGCACTCTATTTAGGTCATTAAAATATCAGCTTCACACCCTGCTTACATTATGTTTGGACTTCATGTTTGTAAGTGCACTTCCAAAGTAAAATAAAAAGCAGAATGGGTGGTTACAGACACAGCTGTTACACGCATTACTTCTGTTGGCTTTGTTTGAAGACAAAGAGAATCCACTAATTCTTAAAAGTCTAGAGAATATGAAGAATGTAGTACCTGTGAGAGGCTTTCCAAGAAGGTAATGCTGTTTTTGGAGAGACCTGGAGAGAATTTCTGCATTAACTACCTACGATTTCCAAAGTGCTTTCAACTCAGTCTCAGCTAAAATAAAACCCTGTTCATCTGACTCAGAATATAATGTAGCTAAAAAAATTGGAATCTACAGACATGGTTTCCATTACATACCATTAAGCAAATACTCATTAAAGATTTGGTTCTTCTAACAGAAAGTTTGGAAGAGGAGAGCTTGTAAACTAGCTTAACTTTTATTTTAGAAGTCCATGTTAAACAACTAGGTTACCTCTATTTGTTTTTCAGTGTTTCATGTTTCTTGTGAGTTTCGGGTCTTTTCTACAATACTCTTGAGGTGTATGCAAAGAAGCAGGCAAGCTTATCTTCGGAGCAAAAACATAGCAGGCTTCAAGGTCAGTGAGCACTTTGCCCAGTTCAGACCAGGACACAATATATATTGTCACTAAGAATCACCTTGATTTATTTCATTTCTCAAAATGATAAAAACCACATAGATAACAACTACAAATAATAAAGAGAAAAAAAGTCTCTAGACATAATATTTACTGATTAGTTATTCTGGCCTTTGAACTTAAGTACTGTTTGTCATTAACTAGCCATGTTTTCTGCTGTCTGGATACCCCGCCTTGAATTCAATACAAGGAAATGAAGCTTTAAACAGTCCGAAAGTTTTTTCAAGGTTGAGAATATTTTTTTTTTAGTTGGTAAATTTTCTCTAATTTATTATTTCTCTTATTACCAGATTTATTAAGCCATCAAGTTAAATGGTTTTAGTTTTAGTGAAAAGACTTATCCCTGCCCACGCAGCTTTTACCATCTAATTTGCTGTTGACAGGAGTAGCTCTCTTGGAGCACAAAACTCAGTCTAACACTGGAGAACCAGCTCCACAGCAAATGATAGAGTGATTTTTCACCAAGGGTCAGGGGAAGTGGATAAAAATAAGCAGACAGAAATCTGTTTGACCAATTCTCTCTCCCGGGACCTCCTTTGACAGCTAGTCTCACAGCAGACGCTGTAACAGAGAAAGGTTTAAGCAGCAGCAGAACACTAAGGATGAACAGTGAAATGCTGAGCCTGCATCTACACTTCCTGCTTCTAAACCAGCTCAATCATTATTGGTAAAAACACCATGATCATTGCATCTCATCATTCAGCTCTTCGTAAATATGGGATCAATATTGCTGACACCAACTCAAATATAGCTGGCACTGAGTCAGGATCAACTGCGGTCATAAATTGAATTAATTTTAGAAAGTATAGGCTAATTTTAAAAGTATCTCTCACTGGCATACCTCATTTATGTTCCAGAAAAATAAAAGATACCCATGTATTAGATAACCTATTGGATTGTTATTTTATGCTGTTTCTTTCATGCAGTTGATGTCAGAAAGGATCAGTAGTCCCCTGACAGCCAGCCCAGCAATTCTCCTGCTGTAGAAATAGATGAAGACAATCCCTCTTCAGACCAAAGACGGCTCTGTTAAGACAAAGTCAGCTCAAAAAGTCCATAAGAGATTGAACTCTTCTGTTGCTTGACTTAAAGGCGACAAACGAGACCACAAACCTCAGGACACAACTAGCCAGCTTGCCAAAGACCACCAACAGCACATCTTAGGGTTCCAGAGAAAACAGTCAATCGCACAGAGAAAACAGATGCATATACATTTATCTAAGAACTCTGCAGCTCAACCGGTAAAATGAGGAACTCAGCGATATAGTATTACTGAGATGGTATAAAAGTTCGATATAGTTCCCATTGCTGATATTTCTATGGAGTGAGGTCTGCTGACTGCAATTTAAAAATTAGATTTTGCATTTGCATTAATTAAATATCTGTTTACAAAATTTGTTTTCACTTCACTAATGTTTAGGCCATGTTTCACAGATTTTGTGCAATAAAAGTGTTTGTAAACATGCACTTCTACATAGTCATGCAGAGGTCTCGGTATCCTCCGTGACCTGACTCCAGTTAAACACACCATGGTGTGTAACATAGTGAGTGTCAAAAGAGACTGCTCAAATGTAGGGTTACAGAAATTGTCACAGTTCTGAAAAGAACCATTCAGGTTAACAGGTGGGAAGCACTAAATCAATTGCATCTCCTCCTTTCTGTCATGTTTGAGTTGGGCTGAGGCAGTCCAGGATGAAGGTCAGAGTTTTCTCTGGTGGAATTCCAACTCCTGCTATTGAATCTGAGACTTGTTAATGTGCAGAGATTAATCAGGAGTCTGGGAGTTGTGGTTCTGAGAGTGCCAGAGGCAAAGAGATTGGGAAATGGGAGGGTGGGACAAGAGGTAAACAAAACAGGAAGGGAGAAAAATAAAAACTGGAGCAGGCAAGTAAGAAAGACAACAGGGCCTGGGTGACAGTTCTGCAAGCAGAACTTGAAGGCAGGCAGATGGGGATTGCTCTGCTGCAGCTGGAAGCACACTGCATCATCACAGTAATAAAATCTGCTCTCCTTGTTCCTTTTTGAATGCGATGCTCCAGTTACAAGCTGTGACATCCATCGGCTCAGAAAAATCAGGCTTAGAGTTGGGCTTTTTCGGTTTGTTTGGTTTTTTAACATGTATTTACTTTCATCATTGACCTGTACAAGACTGTGAAAGGTTGGAAACAGCCTTAAAGTTGAGTGCAAGGAAAAAAAAAAAACAACTGGTCACCGTGCTGACAAAGGGACAAACCCAAGAGTGCACTGAACAGATACTCATTCAGTGTGTAGCAGAAAGCAAAATGGATGTGATCAACCTGAGCTGTCAAATCCAGATGATGAAGTCCAAGTCCAAAAGAAGCACAGTCCTACCATCTAACACAACTACAATTCTGCTAGGGCTGAGGCAAGACATCACAGTGCTGCACGGTGCCTTTTTGCGCATTTCTCCCACCTGTCCTCTTTCTGAAAATTATGTACAACTTTATTTTTCAGGGGGTAGGAGGAAGGGAAGATTTTTGTTAGTGCAGGATGTGAAATCCATTTCACTCTGCTCCAGAGCTGCAACCTGACAGCTGCCACAGCATCCTGATGACATGACTGCTGTGGCTCACCTGAGAAAAGCTAGACTTCTTCAAGTAGTGGTACAACAGCTATACAATGGCCAGAATCTCCTAAAATTGCTAGCTGCATCACAGCAAGGTGAGCTTCTGCAAAGCATTGCTCTCAATAAACCTCATTAATGAAGCACAGCCATCTGTGAAGGC